TGTCGACAGCGGCCACTAAAAGCTTTTTTCCTTTTTTCGTTAGAGCAACAACGATGACATGGGATGGATTTTCTCGTTGTGGTAGCTGCGGACCTTGTGGTAGTTGTCTTGCATCACTTTGGTTGGTTTTCGGGTTCACCATGATATGGTCACAATCCAATTGCGTTGGATGCTTGGTGCCATGGGGGGAAGCCTATCACAAGTTACAGAGCCACTTTGTGAAAGCCATGATGACAGCTTTTCGTAGATGCATTATTGTCAATCATCAATGCCAGAGGATAGGCTCAAGTCCAAATAATCAAGCGCCCGCTGCAAGATCTCGAATCCTGTGGGCGAGTTGGCATCCAGTTAAAGCCATCTCATGGCTGCGAGGCTTTTGTGCCATTTGTGATGTGCAAGGTGAAGAAAATTAGTGCAGCAACGAGGTTTTAGATAATAATATCTCTTGGCCTCCCAATTTGCTTGCCATCCTGCTCGAAGCTCCAGGCGCCCCAAAAAATCGCCAACAAATAGATACTCACTAATACCTTGGCCAAGCGTGCCAAACCAAGCCCTCGTTCGGATTATATTTGCCCAGACTTTTATGACAACATTTATCACCTGTGGAATCGGCAGAGTGAGCAAACTAGAGGCGCTAGCAAATAAGTCGACAAGGGAGGGAAATTTCTCGTCACATCTGGCGATTTTGAGTTTATTTGCTAAGAGCCAGTCTGCCATTTCCTTGTGGAGAAAGGGAGGTAAAACAGAGCACTGTTGGCACTTTTCAAGTTCTGTAGCATATTTAGGTGGGTGAGGACAAATGTGGATCGAGCAAATAAATTACCTATGTGATAGCCAGCCAGCCCTGGCACCAAAGGTTTGAGAAGAAGCCGTCTCAACCGCACATGGGATGAGGAGGTCCCAAACGGGGGGTGTTGCAAGACAATAGGAGACAGGGTTGACCTTGATAGTTACCAATTTTACTTAATGCCACCACAGGGATAAGACTTAAGTGCACTGCACATACCTACTGGTGAACTACTAATCGTGCCGCGCGCACCCACACCTGATGTGGGTGCGCCACACCGTAACGATAAAAACAGTGTAATGATAAAAATATAAATAATATGAACTTCAAAAATCAATATCTCAACACCATGTAGCTAATCTATGATAATTAATTTATCTATATCATCTGTAGTAACGGTATTATTTGCTAGACATTCATATATATTATTAATTTCTTGTTGGGTTGGTTTTGTGATGTTTTTTTTCAAATCTTTCTTAATATACTTGACTTTTTTATAATGTTGTTTTTCAATCTCCTTCTTTTTATATTGTGTGATCTTTCTATTTACATCTCTCACAATGAGTATATCTTCTACTTGAACCTGCTGATATGTATTTTTGATGCTACAGTGTTTGATTGCAAGATAGTAATCTTCAATTTTATTTTTTTTTATAGTATTGAATTTTATCTGTATGGGACTGTTTTGAAAAATCTTGTGCAATCAATTGCTCAGATGAAATGATTTGAAATTAAGTATATTTTTCATATCTTATATTGCTTTCTTTATTACTTGAATATGATTGTGAGGGGTGATGACAGTGTGAAGAGTGAATAGTAGAAGATAGTATATAGTGTAGTGGAAGATAATAATAATTATAGTAGTAGTATAGTTGAAGTTGTAGTTGTAGTTGTAGTTGTAGTTGTAGCTAATCGCTGAAGAGGAAAAGAAAGAGAAAGAAGATGTGCGAAATACATGCATCCATATATATATACATACAGAAATAGTGGTAGCGAGAGTATAATGGAAAGAGGTAAGAATAGACGAAGATATAAACAAAGATAATATAATAATAAGGAAATAATAAACGAGTGCATTACAATGATGTTGTAGCTTTTTAATTGTTTTCAGAGAGAATAATTGTGAGAAGATAGTAATTAATCAATTTAATTGAAAAGAAAAAAAATTATTTTCTTTATATATCTACAGCTCAGAGCAGTCAGAGACTTTAGAATTTAATTTATTAAATATAAATTACAAATTGAAAAGATTGATGTTATGATTCACAAAATTAATTTAAATAATGAAAAGTTGAAAAATCTTTTTACAGATGTCAATTAAATTTTATAGAAATTGACATTTTTCATATTGCTCATATTCATATCAAACAGTTTGATTAACTGCCTTTAAATGATAATGTTTATACTGTTAAAATAATATCTCATTTAGTGATTGTACTATATGAATTGAATGTGAAGAAAATTCATATAAAATAATATTGTGAAGATTGCAGTACTGCAGAAATTTTTCAATAAAATGAGATTTATAATTATCAAAAAACAGTAATTAATGACTGCTTTGTTAATGTTTTTTAATAACTTTATTAAAATACTGAATTCAAACAAAGTCAATTTCATCATTAATATAGTCAGTATTTGACATCATGATTGTATATCCACTCAGTAAATTGCTTTGTGTATATCAATCTTTAAAATGAATTTTGAATTTCATAATAATGAAGAGATTCAATATCTCTCTATCTGCTGAAATACATTCAATTACAGTGATCAATTCTCAAAAATATGATGAAGTTATAATTGAATTCAAATTTTTAAAAACAGTAATAGCTCATTCTTCATATTATTAATCTTATTGAAAATCAATCTCATCAAAGTTGTAGATATCACAGATTTGAAATATATATTTTTAAAATAAAATTTTTAAATGGTTAAATTATATTTTAATATAATTAATATTCTTTATAACAATTCTTTTCAGATTCATTGCTTTCTGCTTCACTCTTTTATATTCATTCAAGTTTTGTATATATTAATAAATTCATATCTTATTGATCACAAATGAAAAGGTTGAAAAATTAATATACTCATATTTAAACATAAAATTTACATTATTTTGAATCTGCTCTGCAATTAATGAGCAATTATTTCTATTCATATAAATTATTCACTCTTTCAATGCATTTTTCTGACTCTTGTTAAACTTCTTGTTCAATGCAATCTTTGCATTGTGTGTTTTTTTTTCATTGATGCTTGTATAAAGATGTTGATAAGGAACATTGAATTTGCACATCAGAAATAGGATTTTTTGTTTTCAATTGCCATTATAGACTTCAATGACATTCTGAATATGTTTTTCAATATCATCCATTTTATTGATCATGGTGGTGATGATATATTAATATTTGAAGGTTGATTAATGAAGAAGTTGATATTTTTATCGTTACGCTGTTTTTATCATTACGGTGTGGCGCACCCACATCAGGTGTGGGTGCGCGCGGCACGATTACCAGCAGTGAATAAGAATGTATTTCGGTCAATCATTCAGCTCTTCGGTCAGTATATTGTCAACTATTATGAACATCCCTAGCTGTGCAGTAGTAATACTTAATTGTTCGATCCAAAATATCGACATCTGTATTTATTGAAACCCCCAGGAGGCACTGTTATCCTTCAAATATTGAGATATTGCTGCTGGTGAAATGCTGCTATTTTGGGGGGAATTCAAAAGCCAGTGGCAACAGGTAATTACATGTGAAGACAGCACCTCTTCATCGGTTTTGCTCCCGGTTGTTGTTATTAATAGCGAATTGACTTGATGTTGCTGTTGCCATCACCGTCGGTCGCCATGGGCCTGAAGCAATGGCAGACGCAGGTCTCTTACATCAGCAACCCTAACTAACCCAATAAGGTTAGTAGACGCCTTGTTATCGCCGAATACGGTAATCTTCACAACCAAGCCGCAGCACTCAAACACCCATGGTTATTGTTTGACTTCCGGCGGCGCGACGTTGAGCCAACCCAACTAAAGTACCGCTTGACTCTATATAAGCCAGCATGGGCTACTTCGCTCGTCCCTGTACCCGTTCTGCATCGTCGAGGCATGTATGTATGTATGTATATTCCCCAACTTCTTTTTCACGTTGTCCAACGAATATCTCGCAGGTTCTTCCTTGGCCCTCTCGGCTTGCTCCACTAAACCTCGTATCTCTGCTGAGCAGATAACACATCCTGCCCCATTCGCCATTCGTTGCTCTCCAGCTGTTGTCAAGTGGGGGGGGGGGGGGGTAAGACCACCACTCATTGTTGGGAGTTCCGTCCACGGCGGGGTATTTGACTGAGGCGTGAGCTT